CTATATTGATTTCCGTAAGGCGTTCGACAGTATTCCGCACGAGCGTCTCTCCTACAAGTTAAGAGTCATGAGCATCGGCGGCAAACCTCTCAAATGGATCAACAATTTCCTCATCGGCTGTTTCAAAATTGTCTGCGTAAAAAAACAGCAATCAAGTCATATATTCATAGAGATTGAAGTCCTACAATGCTTGGTGCTCGGACCAACCCTCTTTCTCTTGATCATTAATGATTGTGTATATGGGTTGCACTGTGATAATGCCATGTTGACATAATAGTCTGGGTCGTCATCCATAATGCTGCCGACGAGACTAAGTTCCAAGTACATTTTTGTCGTGTTGCCCTTAGTTTGAACAAGCGTACATTACTACCTTACACAAATCGAAATCAGATTCATTGTCCGCGGAATTGCTACCTAAAAGGAATGCCACTCAGAGAAGTAGAAGCACAACTATTTCGGAGTTTCGATTCCAGAGAACATATTACTTTTTTTAAAAACGTTGCGATACAGCAAACACCGCCATCATATCGCATTACAACATTGGGCTGCCATTCGCTGCTGTCAACGAAGAATTCTTCTTCAAAGCCTACAGCACGTCTGTGAGATCGCATTTCGAATATACAATCCATGTCTGGAAGGAGAAGGATTATGTTATGGAGAGTGAAAGCGGCGTACAGCCACGGGCGAAGGCGCTAAACAGGGGACCAGGCCAGCGACGTGAGTCTCCCGCGAAGTTAGACGACCGGCGGCGTGTGCAAGTAAATATATGGCCGGGAATTGAGAACGACGTGGAATTTTTTCTTTAAAGCTGCGGCACGTGTGGACGTGAAGCTAAGAAACCACCAAAAGTACCGTCCATGCCATGGCCAGAGGTAACTAGACCTTGGAGTAGAGTCCATATGGACTTTGCGGGTTCGTTTTTCAACCGAATGTTTCTAATATTTGTCGATACATGGTCCAAGTTGCTAGAAGTTTTCGACGTCTCGCAGCTACTGCTGATATAACGGCAAGGAAGACGGAAAAACTAATAACGAAATACGGCATCCCCACGGAGACTGTGACGGATAGCGGCACTCAGTTCACGTCATCAATTTTCCAACAGACGTCAGAAATGGGGAATTCGACCTGTGACGTCACCACCATTCAATCCACAATCGAATGGCCAGGCAGAACGTTTCGTCGACACGTTCAAGAGAGCGATGAAAAAATGTGTAACACTGGTGTTAAACTGCAGTATCTCAACACATTC